TGCCATATGCCTGACATCAGGTGGACTCATCTGCCTACATAGAAAAACCAGTTAGCTAAATAAACAAGCCTGACTGCCAAAAAGACCAACTCCAAGAAATCCGTAAATAAGAAGGTGCAGAGCTCAGGTAGAGGGGTGAAGGGGTCACAGAGACGTGGTGAAGGACACAGTGCTGGCGTCACGGACTCCCAGGATGGCTCTGAAGATGTGTGTGTGTGTGTGTGTGTGTGTGTGTGTGTGTGTGTGTGTGTGTGTGCTCAGCAGAGGTCAGGGAACTTAGGGGACCACCTTGTGGCATTAGTGTTAACAGGGCCAGACAAGTGGCCCTGGATGCAGGAAGGTGGAGTCCTGGCTTACCTATGCAGTGAGTATGTCAGCCGACAGAAAGATCAGCACAGTGGCCACACTCAAAAACGACACACAGCCGGAGCTTCGTGCCTGTCATCTTTGGGTGGCGGGATGAACTGGAAGTGCCACACTGTCAGAGGACTGGGTGAGAGGGTTGCAGTGCTGTGTGTATCCGATTTTCCCCCCAGCCAGGACAGCAAACGTGTGTGCACGTGTCACACATCACCACATTTTGAAAGGACAGTTGTGGGAGATGGTCACCCTGAGCCCCTCCTCTGCACTCTCACACTTACAAGCAGCGAGGACAGCGTGTGGAAACCTTTCAGAACCACTAGGCCTCTCCCTCCTGTCCCCTTTAGACACCAGAGTCCATGGGCAGGAAGGCCCATTTCCTTGGAGACCGCTCTTTTGAGTCAAGACAGCGTGCACTTGGCTGTAAAGCGACAGCTTTCTGCACCCTGGGGCATGCGGTCCCCAGGGCCAGGCCGGTGAGAGACCACAGGGTTCTTGGCAAAAGGCAGGGGTCCTCAGGCAGGGGTCCTCAGGCAGGGGTCCTCAGGCAGGCCAAATGGCCACACAGGTGCCCCCTCCTTACTGTCAGCCCAAGTTTCCGGGCCTTTGTGTCCCCATTTTTGTCAGGACAAAGCTCCTTGTCTCTGCTTTCCTGGGAGAGCTGCCATGCCAGGACTGTGGCCAGGGAGCAGGATGCCCCTGCCATGCAAATTAGACCTGCAGCTTGGTTCTGCCAAGACCTGTGGGGCTGGCGATCTCAGTCCAGTGTCATTCTTCCCTAGAAGTGTGTGTGTGTGTGTGTGTGTGTGTGTGTGGTGTATGTGGTGTGTTGTCTGTGGTGTGTGTGTGTGTGTGTGTGTGTATGTGTGTGCACACGAGTGCATGTGTGCCTGTGAATGTGTGTTGTCTGTGGTGTGTGTGTGTGTCTGTGTCTGTGGTGTATGTGTGTGTGTGGTGTATGTGTGTGTGTGTTATATGTGTGTGTGCGTGTGTGTGTGTGTGTGTGTGTGGTGTATGTGTGTATGAGTGTGCACATGAGTGCATGTGTGCCTGTGAATGTGTGTTGCTGTGGTGCGTGTGTGTGTGTGTGTGTGTGTGTGTGTGGTGTGTGTGTGTGTGTTATATGTGTGTGTGCGTGTGTGTGTGTGGTGTATGTGTGTATGAGTGTGCACATGAGTGCATGTGTGCCTGTGAATGTGTGTTGTCTGTGGGGTGTGTGTGTGTGTGTGTGTGTGTGTGTGTGTGTGGTATGTGTGTGTGGTGTATGTGTATGTATGTGTGTGTGGTGTATGTGTATGTATGTGTGTGTGGTGTATGTGTATGTATGTGCACATGAGTGCATGTGTGCCTGTGAATGTGTGTTGTCTGTGGGGGGTGTGTGCGTGTGTGTGTGCGTGTGTGTGTGTGTGTGTGTATGGTGTATGTGTGTATGAGTGTGCACATGAGTGCATGTGTGCCTGTGAATGTGTGTTGTCTGTGGGGTGTGTGTGTGTGTGTGTGTGTGTGTGTGTGTGTGTGTGTGTGTGTATTGGGGGACGGTTTGCTCTGCAGAGACACAGAAATGGCAGAGGAAAGATGTGGAGGTGAGCTGTCATGGGGACTGTTCCTTGCTGCAAATTCCAAGTCTGATGAGGTGAACTCAGCATGCTATCTTTCTCTTTATAATTAAGTCATCTGGTGAAGGAACAAGTAATACATTTACGTGGTTCAAAAGTCAAGATGCTAAAAAAAAAAGTTTGAAAAATTCACACCCCCTTCCACTCTGTCCTCCTGTGCTCCCACAGGAGAGTGTATGAGCTTTTTGTGATTCGTACACCATTAAAGCAAGACAAAACAGAACAAATGGAGATATGTATCCTCTCTGCTCTTTCACACAAGAAGGATTTATTTTATTATTTTACAATATAATTTAATTCTACATATCAACCACGGATTCCCTTGTTCTCCCCCCCTCCCGCCCCCCCCCCTCCCCTTCCCCCCAGCCCACCCTCATTCCAATCTCCTCCAGGGCAAAGACTCCCCCTAGGATTGAGTTCAACCTGGTAGACTCAGTCCAGGCAGGTCCAGTCCCCTCCTCCCAGGCTGAGCCAAGCGTCCCTGTATAAGCCCCAGGTTCTAAACAGCCAACTCATGCACTGAGCACAGGACCCGGTCCCACTGCCTGGATGCCTCCCAAACAGATCAAGCTAATCAACTGTCTCACTTATCCAGAGGGCCTGATCCAAGAAGGATTTTTTTTTTAACATAGCATTCTACCCTAGAGGCCTTCCCTTGCTGCCTAGAGAGCTGTGCACAGCTGTGGTGCTCTATGGTGCACTCTGGGCTTTTAAACCAAGACCCTATTGGTAGGAATTTGAGGTGAACTGTGGGTGTGTTTGGTTTTCTCATGCCCACTTTCTCCCACCATAGCTACATCTTCAGCCTCACCCCCTAGGGATTTACCTGGGCTACAGGTCATGTGATCCTCATTTTATTGAGTTTTTTTGTTGTTGTTGTTTTGTTTGTTTTAATGTGTATGGGTGTTTTGCCTGCATGTATGTCTGGGCGCCTTGTGAGTACCAGGTACCTGTAGGGGCCAGAAGAAGACCTCAGATGCTCTGGGACTATAGTTACAGACTGGTGTGAGCTGCCATGTGGATCCTGGGAATCAATCCCAGGGCATCTGCAAGAGCAGAAAGTGCTCCTAACCTCTGAGCCATCTCTCTAGCCCTTTTATTTTTTTTATATTTTCCAAATTCACACATACATCTGTGTGGTTTAAATGAGAATGAACCCCCCAATAGGCTGTATGTTTGAATGTTTGGTCCCCAGTTGGTGTAACTGTTTGAGAAGGATTAAGAGGTGTGGCCTTGTTGGAAGATGTATGTCACAGGGGTGGACTTTTAAGTCTCAAAAGCCCATACCATTCCCAGTTAGCACACACACACACACACACACACACACACACACACACACACACACGCTCGCTCTCTCTCTCCCTCTCTCTCTGTCTTCTTCTTCCTCATGGTTGTTGTCTCAACATGTAAGCTCTCAGCTACTGCTCCAGCATCATGCCTGCCTGCCTGCCGCCATGCTCCCTGTCATGGTAGTCATGGACTCACCCTCTGCCAAGCTCTTTCTTCCATAAATTGCCTTGGTAATGTGTCTTGTCACAACAATTTAAAAGTAACTGAGACAACACCTCCATCGTGATACTACTTTTCGACCCTCATAAGTAAGTCATTTAGATCCTAGATCCAGAGAGAAGCTGCTGTGGCTGGCCATGGCTTCATCAACACTGCATACACATCTATGAAGAGTTTAGGTAGGTGCTGTTGTCCCCAGTGACATAAGAACCCAGCTGCCTGCCTGCGCTTGGTCCTGGCTGTCGCAGAGGAAGCTTAGGGGCTGGTAGGGGGTTGCCCCTGACTGCTCTTACCCTCCCTGCCACGACCTGGCAGCTCAGGAGGGACTGGCACTTTGACTTTGCTTCTGGCATGAAGACAGTATAAACAGAGACCCAGCTGGGCTGAGGGCCACATAAATAAGGGCAGGATGGAAACATTTGTTCCGAGTCTCTGGGATTTGGGGATATCAGTCACCACAGCACAGCAGAGTAAGCTGTATGTGGAGCAAGCAGCGAGCTATGCAGAAGAAACTAAGCAGTGACCAGCTAGGTATGATTTCTGCACACCTGAGGACCACGGAATAAAAACTGTATCCGCAGAGAAGACAGGAGCTGCAGGGCAAAGGCTACAAGGATGGAGAGTTGTGTTGTCAATATGCTAAAACTGAGGTGCCAGTAGGATCTCCAAATGGCATTGTCAGGTGTGTGGTTGGATGCAGGATTCTGCCGCTCAGGACAAGGTTTAGGGTGGACATATACAATGTGTGGAGCCCAGATTGACAGCTAGGAGCCAGGCACTGGGGAGAGGGTAAGCAGCCCACTCAGCCCCCAAACGGACGCAAGTGTAGGAGGGAGGCACAGCTGGGGTGGTCCCGATGTCATGCCCGGGAAGCAGACTCCTTGGGATGTGTCCCCACATGTGCCCGCAAATTCACGATCCTCCTGCCTCTGCCCCCTCCCCAAGCTGTTGAGAAATACAGGTGGTACCACTACACCTGACCTAGGATGTTTAAGTTGCCGAAAGAGAAACTCCAGATAATCAGGGGCTTGGAGGGTTGAAGTCTGTCGGAGCATTGGCTCACAACTGACCTGAGAGGACATTGTAAGAACATGGGAGTGGGCTGTGCAGTTGATTTCCCTTCTGTTTATGATACGTGAATTGGTTTCCTATGTTCAGCGATGATGCACAGTAATTTGATTTAAAGGAGTCTTAATAATATTCTCCCTATGGTACATAAAAATATGCCACAAAAATGGAGGACTCAGGTATGAGATGTAAATCCTCACTTAGCTTGCCTAGCATGCCCAAGATGTGAGTCTGAATCTCCCTCCCCTCCCTCCCTTCCTCCCTCCCTCCCTCCCTGTCCCTCTCCCTCCCTCCCTGTCTCCCTCTCCCTCCCTCCCTGTCTCCCTCTCCCTCCCTCCCTGCTCTCTTCCTCTCCCTCTCCCTCTCCCCCTCCCCCTCCCCCCTCCCCTCCCCCTCCCCCCTCCCCCCCCCCCCCCCCCCTCTCTCTCTCTCTCTCTCTCTCTCTCACTCTCACTGGATTGGAAGCCTCATAGCTGCTGAGGCCAGCACCCGTACCTGGTGGAGAGCTCAGGGCTCCCCCTAGTGGCCAGTACTGCTAAGCGTGCCCGCTGTACCTCACCTAGCAGGGTACCTTGCTTGAGGCAAGAGGTCCCTTCCCATCTTTCTCCACTAGCCCTAGTAAGTGCTTTTTACCATTTCTGGAAATGCCTCTCTGGCCTTGCTGACTACCAGTGAACAAGGGCTACTGTGCATAAGCAAGCCAACAGGAGCCTTAAATAGCATACTTACCAGTGGGACAATATTTGATGGGAATTGTGAATTTGTGGAGGATTAGGATTAGAATGGAGAAAGTTTTGGCAATGAAATTATTTAAAAAACAAAACAAGACCTAGGCAAGGCTTTATGAAAGCCAAATACTCATGAGCCTGCCCTCCACCACACTGCAGGTTCAGTTCCAAATCACGGTAATGAAGTGAGCGGCACAGCAGAGTTATGTGGCTGTTTTTGGAGCCTGTCATGTGTTAACTACATCAATGAGGAATCTGCATGCCTTCCTGTCATCTCATCTTTATTTTTAGTGGATGTGTAATTGTTTCACATGTGCAATGTAATATGCCAACACTGGTCACCCCCCTCTGTTGCCGCTCCTTCCCCGTGTTACCCCAGTTCCTTATACCTTGCTTCTTGGTCCTGACCTTAATGACTTGCTTGGCCAATGGATCAAGGTGGAAGTGACATTCTGAGGCCAGGTCACAGTTCCTGCCTGGATCTCCCAACAGTGGCTGAGTTAGGAGTCGGCTGAGATTCCTAGTGACAGTGACCCAACTATCTCAAGACATCCAGATGTCTCCAATTAATTGGCAACCCCAGCAGCCACTGACTGCCACAACATAAGAGAGATTCAAGGAAGAGCAAGTTCGATCAGTTACCCACATAGGCTTAAAACACCATGTTTAGGGATGGTTTAAAAACCAGGAGTGGAAAAACTAAAAAACAAACAAACAAACAAAAAAAGCCAGGCGGTGGTGGTGCACGCCTTTAATCCCAGCACTCGGGAGGCAGAGGCAGGTGGATCTTTGTGAGTTCAAGGTCAGCCTGGTTTACAGAGTGAGTTCCAGAAAAGGTACAAATCTACACAGAGAAACCCTGTCTCGAAAAATTAAAAAAAAAAAAAAAACAGAAGTGGACACCTAGAGAAACTGCATAAAGCCACAGTTTCCTGGCCGAGAACTGGTGTCCTCAGGACAGAGAATTATAGCCCTTCCTCAGAGAAGCAGTAGGCATTCCCAAGTCACAATAAGAGCAGTGGACAGCGATGGGGTACCAGTACACATAGGATGCACTCATTTGTATATCCTAGCAACCATCCTTTAAATAAATGAGTATAGATCCCTCTTGCAGCCACAATAACAAAAATGTCTGGAAACAGCACCAACTCTTTGGGTACATCCAGCTCCTGGCACAGCCCTCCAGGGAGGCTGGGAGAGGCTCCACAGTGAGCTCATGGGCAGACCTTGCGTATTGAGAAATTTCCAGCAAAGTTGCAAGTTTGGCACTGCTTCTGAAGGACTGGACATGTTCTCCTGTGCCGTCGCAACGTCACTTCGCACTGAACTGGAGACAAAACGGCAGTGTAGGGTGGCTGGTCTGGTGGATCTGGAAGGGAGACTTTCAAGGACATGCCAGTGATGGAGGCAGTGGAGAAACGTAATGCCAAGTGAGTCACCTCAGCTCTGTGCCAAAGGTGGTAGTAATGGAAAACGGTGTCGATGCCAAGTGAGTGAGTTGCCTCAGTCCTGCTCATGTGAACAGCTGACAGTGGGCAGCTCTACCAAGCCTGTATGCCCTGAGTGCCCAGCCCAGACGGGCAGATAACCTCCCAGGAGAGGCCGGCAGCCCCCAGGGTCCTGACTGGCCTGACAAGGATCTCTGGCCACCCCTTCCTCTACAGATGTTAGTAAATCATTGCATTCGTGAGTGATGGTGGCCAGGCAAAGGTACCCGAGCCTTTGGAGAGAAGACGTGATCTACAGGTGCTACTTGTCTCTAGGAAAAAAACCTCCAATGTGCTCAGCAAGTACAGATTACAATAGCCTGATTCTGAGTCTTCTCTCCAAAGCCAAGGGGAAAAGAGTCTGTGTTAGAGGTTTGAAACAAGGTGGGGCATGAGATAAGATGCGAGGCAAAAATAAAAGAAGGTTTTTTTTTTTTTTTTATTTAAGATGGAGGTGATGCATTTGTAGTGAGGGATGTATGTGGAACAGATCAAACCCAGAAGGATGGCAAAGCCTTCCCCCAGTGAGGCTCAGAGGAATGACAACATCTTCCTCTGGTCCAAATACCAATGATTACAAATTATGGACCAGTGGGTGCAAAAGCTAGCAGCTACATCTTCCTCCTCTAGGATGATGCAACCTGAGACTGCTCCCCACAGACTTCCCACTGATAATGCCGAAGCCCTCTTCCCTGTGCTGCTGTTTGTAATAAAGGCCAAGTGTCTGAGCTGTGCAGTAGGTGCCCTCCATCAGAGCAAGCACAGCCCACCGCATCCCAGCTTTTCTGGATGCGCGTCTGCCGTTTCCTTGTTCCTGCATCGCCCCGGTCAGGTTTCCAGGACCACACCAAGCGGGACGTGCCAGGGGTGGGCTGAGAGGGAACAGGCAGTGATGAAAAGAGGTCCCTGAGCACCTGAGACCGTATAGTGGGCAGAAGGCTTCCTTTTCCTCCAGAACTTAAGGGGAGGAGAAGGGGAGGGACAAGTGGGGGCCTGTGTTGTCCTCCTGGGCACATGTCCTCTCTCTCTCTCTCACACACACAGACTCCTGGAGATATGGTAGAGTGAGGTACTCACCAAGCATCCCTGTGCACCAGTGCTGTTCTAGGAGCGGGTACCCTGCCGCATGGAGTCAGAGCATGTCATTAGCACGCAGTATCCTTTTCTTCTTTTTCGGGCATATGGTCTCACTATGAAGCCCTGGCTGGTCTGGAACTCACGATATAGACCAGGCTGGCCTTGAACTCAGAGATTCCACCTCCCCAGGGCTGGGATTAAAGCTGTTCACCACAATGCTTGGTAATACCAGGATTCTTGCAGGCTGCAGGTTGCAGGAAGGGCGGTTCCAAGGTGTATGGCAGGGGGGGCAGAAGCCGCGTGTCAAAGCAGTCTAGAGGCCTCCCTGAGGATTCACCCCGTGAGCTCAGAGCTGAGAGGAGTCACAAAGCACCAGAGGGAAGAGACAGCACCCCAGAGCCCTGTGGGGCCCCTCCTCCGCAGAAGGCTGGCTGCCAAAGGTCAGAACAGACGGTGACAGCCATACAATGGGAGGGGAGGAATGAGGAGTCCATGCCTCATCCTCACCTGGACAGGACGCAGTGCATCCTAACTCCCACGTAGTCCATGCTGCCCATCACTCCCCTGTGCCCTCCTTCTGCTCTGGAGCTTTCCAGACAAATGCCTCCTTCAAGCCTACTCTCACTGTGGTCTTCCATTGAGTGTACCCTTCTCCCAGGTGTGTGTTTCCCCAAGTTTGTCTCTACCTGGGGGTGCTCCATCTTCCCCCAGGTGCACCCGTCTCCAGGCCCCCTTTCACCCAGTGACCTCTACCCAGGCACGCCCTTCCTAAAGGTTCCCCCGTCCCCGGGGCACTTGGCTCTGAACTTTCTTTAGGATTCTGCTCAGCTCTCGCTGCCATGCTCTCCTCACCACCTGGTGAAAGCACAGCTGTCTGTCTGTCTTCTGTCTCAGGTCCACAGCTCCGGCGACAGTCGGTTCCTTATCCAGATCCGCCATAGGAGTTCCTTAAGGTTACTTTTTTTTAGAAAATATGTTCTTCACTGTATCTTCAAACTCAAAGCAGTGCCAGCCTGTCACGGGTGCTCAGAGCTTACCCAGAGTACACGGATCTGGGTACAACCCGCCCCTCTGCACCAAGCTTCTGGAATACAGGGGCCCCACCTCTTCCACAGTGGTGGCTTGTTTCCATACTGTCTGCCACAGCATGGTGACCGTGACAACAGGAGAGGTTCTCCCAGGGGCCAGCACTCATGGGGAACTAACTTCCCACGTCAGTCTGTGAACACGGTTTCCCTGGAGGGTGAGGTCACTGGACTTGCACTCTCTGACCAGCAATGACATTCCATGTGCCCACAGCACCAGTTCCATAGGAAACCTACAGATTCCCACACAGGGAGTGAGGTCCCATAGCCACCCTTACTGGAACAGCCTTAGAAACGCAGCAGGAGAGCCCGGGGACTTTGATACGCAGTAGTGGCTGCTCAACATGGGCTACCCGGGTGAGCCTGCCACGCTCTCTCTCTCTCCCTCCCTTCCTCAACTGAGTCCTAGCTTCCCAAGCCAACAGGGCCTACCGGGGGTGGGTTGTCCTGCCCTTGCCTAACTGGATCCTGCCTGCCAACCCTCAGAGCTGTGTGCAATTGGGAGCATTTTAAGTTGCTGGGACCCAGAGGGCTGTCTGGGGTCAGGCATCTATCTATAGAATGAATGTGTTCATCCTACTGCAGGCAGGGCACTGGTGTTATGGCGACGGAGGTAAGCTAATAAACGTCCCTTTCCGGGCTCTGCCACAGGAGGGAGGATCATGAATCAGGCAGCTCGTAAATAGCCACAGGACGCATGGCAACTCCCACCCTGCATGTCTCCTTGGATGCCTTTGTTCTCCTCTGGGCTCCCTTTGCCGAGGAGGAGTCGACATCTGAAGAGCTGTCTCCCTGGCTTCTAGACACAGGCCTTCCACCCAGGTCCCCTCAGTCCGGAGAGGCGAGAGTGAATGACGTGACACAGGAATCCACCGGTCTCCGTGGCTTGTTTCCGTGCTCTACTCTGTCTCGGGTCCTGATTCTCCAGGACAGTGCCCTTCCATGCAACGGACTGCCTACTGCAAGGTTCTGTGACTCCACAGTCTGCCTGTTGGAGTGAGGGGGTTAGGGAATGTGCAGAGTTGGCATCCTCAAATGCTTCCGCCCAGAAGGGACATTCTCGGAGCTGCTGGCAAAGATGGACTAGAGAGGAGAAGGGGTTTCCAGGGAGATATGGGAAAGCATTTGGTCGCTTGGGGTGCAAATGTCTCCACCACCACCACCTCACATACAATAAATATGTTAATGCCTCATGGGACTCAAAGAAGAGGCAGATCGTGCCTGTGGAGAAGCTCCTGTGGTCGGGACAATGAAGCCCACAAAGGGCATTTGAGTCACGAGCTTTGCAACTCTGGCAAGAGTCCAGGCAGAGATGGTTGAGTGGCCCCTGAACTGTCCAATAGGACCTCATACTGGCTATGGCTGGCATCAGTCTAGAGGCCTTTTAGCTAAGAAATAGCTTTCTGAGGGATCAGTCCCATGGCAAGCTGCCCAGTTCCTTTCAGCACCTCTGGTCTGTGTGGGAGATAGGGTGAGCAGAAGGAGCCAACGGTACCTGTAGGGTGGGTTTGCTCACCCAATCAGACATGGTAGATGGGCCTGAACACAGACTAGCAAAGGAAAGGGTTATTTACTCTGAGAGGGACAGGCCAGGAAAGACGCTGTGGGGAAGGGGCTGAAGGATGTGTGATACCCATGGAATGGGGTCTTCATGAGTGACAAGTAACTGAGGGTATAACCACAAGGCTGGTCACACCATCCTGGACAGAGCATGGCACCTGGGATTGGACTGAAATGATGACAGAGCTGAAGAGAGGAAACAGCCTGCTCATAGCAGTGGGCCCTGCAGCTGGTGCTTCATCCCGTGGAACCTTCTCAGGAGCCATTTGAAATGAGTCTACACGTCTAGGGCCTGGAAAGTCCTACCTGTTTACCCACTCCATCCCCCACGGTCAGTGGCTGCCTTGACAGTTGGAGACCCTTCACTCTGCCAACTGACCTCTTGCTGGGGCATCAGGCAAATCCCTGGGCTGAGGCAGGGACTCTGCACCTGCAGGGGCTGGAAGCTCACTACTACAGTGTCTCTAAACCAGACCATGGGAACAACCAGCGAGCAGGAAAGGTCTCCAGTAAAGCAAGGTGACCCTCCTCAGGCTGCTCCAGCTCCTACCTAAAAGGCCTGATAGGCACTGACCAGTACACAGGCAAAAAAAATTGCAAGTGGCCACACATGTCAGTGCCCACTAAATAAGGCTCTGGTTCTTACCAGAATGGTCTGGAAAGGAAGTCAAGATGGTCGCAAGTCAGGGTTCCCTGAGAAGCAAAGGCACTCACATGAATCTTCAGGGAAGTACAATGTCCCTGAACCTTCACTTGTGTGCGAGTGTGAGTGCACACATGCTGTGGTGGAGCGCGGAGGTCAGAGGGCATCTGTGAATCTGTTCTCTCCCTCCAGCTTGTTTTGAGGCAGGGCCTCTAAGGTTGTTTCTGCCATGCTGTGCACTCCAGGCCAACTAGCCCACTAGCTGATTCTGCAGGCTCCGCCTCCTGTCTCACTGTAGAAGGGCTGGGATTGTAGATGCGCCCTGCTGTGGTTTTTTTATGTCTGCTTTGGGAACTGAACTCTGGTTGTCAGACTTGTATAGTGTGGTGATTTGAAAAAAAAAAAATGGCCCCCAAAGGGAGGGGCACTATTAGGTGTGGCTTTGTTGGAATAGGTATGGCCTTGTTGGAGGAAGTGTGTCTTTGTGGAAGCAGGCTTTGAGGTCTCATATATGCTCAAACCATGCCCAGTGTCTCAGTTCACTTCCTGTTGCCTTTGGATCAAGATGTAGGACTCTCAGTTCCAGCACGATACCTGCCTGCATGCTGCCTTGCTTTCCATACATGGAGATAATGCACGAAACCTCTGAAGTATAAATGAGCCACCCCAATTAAATGTTTTCCTTTATAAGAGTTGCCGTGGTCATGGTGTCGCTTCACAGCAATAGACACCCTAAGACACATGGTAAGCACTTACCTACAGAGCATCTCACCGACCCTTGTTTTAACTTGTAAAAAGTTTCAGATCGTGTGACACTGAACTCACACTTCTAGTCCCCACCCTTATTTTAGTTCCGCCTCAGGACCTGGACACACAGCATTGGGCTCTGGCTTGGCTGAAGGCGTCCCCATTCCTGTTCCTGACACTTTGAAGGAGTTCGTATGGGTGTCTATCTTTATTTGGGGTAAAACACCTAGGACTGTAAGTATTATGAATGTTCATTACTTTTCTATTGCCGTGACAAAAACCTCAATGATAACAACTTAGGGGTCCATCTTGGCTCCTGGCCATGGGGGACCATGGAGGAGAGGACGTGGAAGATGAGGCTTAGGTGGCTGATCACATTGCATGTACAGTCAGGAAGCTGAGCGTGAACAGGAAGTGGGACAGGGCTATAAAACCTTATGCCCCTGCTCCCAGTTACCTACTTCCTCCAGCAAAGCTTTGCCTCCCAAAAGTTCTGCAGTCTTCCAAGACAGCGCCACCCACTGGGGACCAAATGGTTGAACACATAAGCCTATGGGGGAAATTTCACATCCAAACAGCAGCATAAAATGTATAATGTAGAACAACACATTCTGAAAATAAAGCTCAAGGCCCAAGTGAAGACAGATGTGGCTGCTGGTCCAGGAGCAGGCAAACATCAATTTCAGGGAATGCCAAACGCAAACACATACCCGTTGTCATTAGCTTCAAATAAGCCCTCATGTGTGTATCACCTGTGACCCCTCAGGATGGTCACAACCGGTGTGGGAGGCACAGAGGCTCTTGTGCCCACAGATCAGCACTAGGGGATCCGGGAATGTGAAACACATAGTGTTGTTCCTTCAAAGGGAGGGACGCATAACCTGTTATCACCTCAGAAGGCTGGGAGCAGATGTGGTTAATAGCCTGGTGTCCTTGGTGCTATCTGTGTGGCTGAGACCACACCAGATCCTTATTGTGAGTTTGGCAATCTATAGAACCTATCTTTATGAAAGGTGTCACATGTGGTCAATCTGTAGAACCCATCTTTATGGGAGGTGTCAGATGTGTTCAATCTGTAGAACACATCTTTATGGAAGGTTTCCAAGTTTCAGTAGGCTCACATCTTAAGCTTTATTGTGCACACGGGATTGAGTTAATCCTCAGAAAAACTGTGCTGTGCTTAAATATGCCTAAAATAAGCTGCTCAGGGTCAGACTCGAGAAGTTTGAACCAACACCAGCTACTTAGTTGTACTGAACAAAAATCCCTTCTTGCCTCCTGAGGATTGTTACTCTGCCAGTTCAGGCTCCTCCCTCCCTCCCTCGCTCCTCCCTCCCTCCCTCCCTCGCTCCTCCCTCCCTCCCTCCCTCTCTCCCTCCCTTCCTGTTCTGTTTTGTTTTTCTATCAGTTTGACACAAGTTAGAGTCATCTGGGAACAGGAACCTCAGTTGAAAAACACCCCCATCAGATTGGCCTGGCTGATGTGTGGGGGTTCAGCCCCCTGCAGACAGTAGCCTTGGGCAGGTGGTCCGGGGTTATATAAGAAAATGGCCCTGCCTCAACTGAATGTACCAGGCTCTGCTGACTCCCCATGGGAGACCTTGCCTTGGAGGAGGTGGGAATGCGGGGTGGGTTGGTGGGGGAAGGCTGGGGGGAAGGAGGAGGGAGGAGAGGGGAATCTGTGGTTGAATAGAAAATCTCTTTTATATATATTTATATATACTAAAAAAAAATAATAAATTCTCCAAAAAACATTGTGTTCCTAGGTATATATTTACCTAGGTATATATCAGATGGAAAACATCCATAAATTAAAATTTTAGATTTTTAAATCAAAACAATTTGGAAAATAGTAGTCAACTAACTTAAACTAGGTGGTCCAATTTGTTGGATCACATGTACAAGGAAAGCAAAACATGGAATCGTTGTATAGACTCTGTTTTCTCTTCTTCAAATAGCTGCACAAGTTTGTAAGGAAGAATGAGTTGAATGGGTGATCCTGCTTCCCAGGACATCATGTGCCAGATAAATGCTGTACCACAGAGTCACAGAGCAGGTGCATGTCTGGGTCTGCCTGCACCAAGTCCTTTGTCCCTCATCCTGCAGTGTCCAGCCTGTGGGTGGGGTTGGCTCCCTGCTGTCATCATCTCCTTAACTCTACCACATGCCTGTCACTACAGCATCATGTGAGGCTCCCCCATTGTGTCACTGGGGTTGGGCTCCCTCCTGACCCTGAAGGTGTTCTCTGTGCTATGTCCATCCCTAGCCCTAGGCATGTACCAGGAGTCTGACCTGCAAGGCCTGTGCCTGCAGCTGAGTCCAACAGAAAATCCTGGCTAATCAGAGGAGAGAGGGAGGAAGATGTGTTAGGCAGGCCAGCTGCCATCACAGGAAGGAAGAAATTGACTGAGAAAGAGGAAAGGTTATTTCAGCTCACTCCTTTGGAAGGTTCGGTCTGTGATCACTTGGCCCCTTGTTTGGGCTTTGGCTGAGCAGCACAGCATGGCAGGAGCACAGGAGGACAAAGAACACAAATCATGGGGCAGGGAGCAGAGGGAAACATGGGTCCCAGGGCCCTCTTTGAGCCAGTGTCTCTAGACTTCCCACAGGAGTCCACCTCACAACGGTTCCACCACCTCCCAATGCTGCCACTCTGAAGATCAAGCCTTGAACACACCCTATAGCAGAGCAGGAGGGAGCTGAGTGTCCCCCGGGGCCCCTGTGTCACTTGGCTGTCCTCTGGGTTCTACTAATGCTCCAAGCTCCTGCCTCCCCTTGGGGTCTGGAGACCACAGCTCTGCCCCTGGCTCTGGCATGGGCTGCCATCCTGGGCTCCTGTGCTGGTGCTACATCTTGTCTCTACTTGCTAGGTTCCTACCTCTACCCCTGCATGATTCTGTCACTGTTTCTGCTCTAGGGGCGGAGGTACAAGGTCAAATGGATCCTTTATGCTTTTTCTTTTTAAATGCCAAGTGGTTGGTTTGCTTAAGGAAATTAAAGTGATGGTCGGTGGAAATTGAGAACCTAATGTTAGTTACCGAGATGCTTTGCGAACTATCTTACAAAATTGTAGTAAGTATTGCCACTGGGACACAGGGTCCAGTGACACTGTTGCTGGTGACCCCTGACCTTTCCCGCTCCTCCACTGCTGCCTGGTGAGCTAGATTTCAAACCTCCCAGCTGACCCGCCCCTCCCTCCATGCACCCTGAACCCTTCTCTCTGTCCCCCGGGCGGAGGTGTCCTCATTTCTTCTTGATTCCGTTCACTGCAGCCCTGCCAAACCTGTGAGGCAGACCCCTCTCTCAGCAGCTCCCCTCTCCCCTTTAACCCCTGCTGTATACCCCCTCCCATCTTCCCTTTGGGTAGGGGAGGCAGCACCTACCTCTCCATGACAGCCCTCCGGGGTCATCTGCTGGCCTCCTGCTCTCTCAGGCACTGTGATGTCCAGAACAACACGGAGATTTGACCTGGCGTGGATCACAGGCTCCGCCCAAGGCTGCATGGTGTGAGAAGGGCCTTGAACTTCCTGAACACGCCTCATCTCTTCAGAAAGAGAGATGTTGTGTTTTCGGGTGGTCACATGGCTGTGGTTCAAGGCAGAGCTACAGCGAGGCCTGAGGCTGACACCCCCTTTTACCTTCTATGTCTAAGCACAGGTTGGGCTCTTCCAGGGAGAAATGCAGTGGACCACTGTGACCTCTAGAGAAAAGTTCCAAGGAGTGGGGTGTCAGATATTGTAGCTAAAGTATTCCTGTGTCCCAGCCTGCCGGTGGTCAGGACAAATCTCTCACCCACCAGTCCTGCAACCACTCAGACCCAAGTAAACACACAGAGGTTTATATTATTTATGAACTGTATGGCCATTAGCTCAAGCTTATTACTGACTAGCTCTTACACTTAAAGTAACCCATAATTCTTATTTATGTTTAGCCACGTGGCTTGGTACTTTTTCCCAGTTCTGCCTTCACATCTTGCTTCCTCTGTGTCTGGCTGGTGACTCCTGACTCAGCCCTTCCTGTTCCCAGAATTCTCCTCTCTGCTTATCCCGCCTATACTATACTTCCTGCCTGGCTACTGGTCAATCAGCGCTTTATTTATTAACCAATCAGAGCAACACATTCACAGCATACAGAGCGATATCCACAGCAAGGTGTGGCTCACAAGGTGGGATGTGGGTGTCTGAACAGGAGGTCCCAAGAGAGGAGAACTCTGCCCTCAAAAAGCAAGTTTATACCTAGCCAGGCTTGGTGACACATACTTGAGATTCCACTCTCAGGAAGCTGAGCTAAGGGATCAGTCTCCAGGTTCAGGCTAGCCTGGCCGTACATGGTCTCCACAAAACCAAACAAAGTTTGGGTCACTTACCCTGCTCACCTTGACTTCCCAAGGCCATAGTCCTGGCTAGGTTAATGTTTCCTCGTATTTGGTGAGTTCCAGAACCAGCTGAATCATGCTTATACAACAAAACGAAAAGCTAGTCTGCCCATCTACTCACCTGCGCCCATGCCTCTGAGCCGGACAGCCCCTCCTAACTACCTCAGGATTAAGCTGCAGCCCTTCATCCCACCATCTCCTCATGCCCCCCATCCCCCCATCCCCTCCATTCCCTCCATCTCCTTACCCGCAGCCTAGAGACAGGCCAGTACATACCATTCTTCCTGGGGACCTAGTCACGGGATCCTGCAGAGAGTTCCAGCCCACCCACACCCCCATGATGCCTCTAACAGATGGTGGGTTTAAGAGAAAAAGAGTGCCTCCCCTGCTCCCACAGAAAGACAGAAAGCTGCGTGGGAGCTGTGACACTGGAGTGTGGTTTACGCTAAGACACATGCACCACCCCCATATAACTGCAGGGCATTGCTGGCATGGTGAACTGGGGTGGGGGTCATTCAGTGAGTACCATACATGGGTGGCTCTGCCACTCTCTGCCCTCAAGTCTGTTTCTCTGTCTACCTGTGAAGGCCTGGATCCAGAATCCACACAATGTGCCTTCCACCACTTTTCATTTGTTAGAAACAAGTCAGTACACCCGGCCCACACTCATGGGAAGAAATGAGATGCCACAGGCCCTAAAGACCTCACAGGTCCCAAGGCTTTTTAAACTGTCATCGCCTGTGTACCAGCCCCAATCATTTTCATTTCCCCCCTGGGCAGAATCAACTCACCCAGCTGGGCACTGTGAGGTGAACCACCATCCCAGTTGGGAGGCAGAAGCAGGAAGATTCCCCAGTTCAAGGCCAGCCTGAGAAACCTTAACTCAGACATTCACCCCTCCTCACGTCCCTGAAAACCCACTCAACTGGCAGGAAGTGTTGCAGATGCAAACCTGGAGTGCTTTCCACAGAGGATGACAGAGAGAGGAGCTCAAAGGGCAGGACGGAGAGCAAGACCAAATCCACCTCATATCCCAAGCCTGCGTCTACTCAAGGCTCAGATACACCCAGCATCTTGGGGCAGTCCCTCAAGCGTGGCTCAGGTATTCTAGCCATGGGGACAGGTCTAAGACAAGCACTCTGCGCCTCCTGTTCAAAGTGAATGGAGAAGGAGAAAGTGAGTCCTGTGCCCCCTGTCATCCCTCATGACAAGCGACCCAGTCTCTGAAGATTCCTGCCAGTTGAATTTGGGGAGTCAACAGTGTCTTGCTTTGGTGCTCTTGCTGACCCTGTGCATCCTCGCTGGCCCTTCTCCCCAATATGAGTCTTCTGAAAACTTTGTGTGTCTTTTATGAACCTCACCGGGGCAGCTGATCTCCATTGTCAACTTTATGGGATTTCAGATCTCCATGGAAACAAACCTCTGGGCCTGTCTGTGAAGGAGTTTCTAGATTCAAGTTAACTGAAGACCCACCTTAAGTGTGTGTGGGTGGCACCACCCCAGGGGGTGAAGTTCAATATTGAATAAAAAGGAGAGAGCGAGCTGAGTCCAGAATCCATCTCTCTCTACCTCCTGGCTGCAGATGCAATGTGACCTGCTGCCCCGCGTTTCTGCCACATGTCTTCACTGTCACAGTGGACCAGGCCCTCAAACCAGGCGCCTTAGTAGGCCCTTCTTATGTGGCTTTTATTGGGCATTTATGTAAATGAAAAAAGTAACATAGAGGTCCCGCCATTACTGCAGGGAACTCTGCTTATGTCCCCCACTTCCATTCAGTGCCTCTAAGAGGATGGATCCCCTCAGATTTCCTGACACCTCATTGGAACAGTCAACTTCCAGGCTGCTCTTTGGGGATTCCATCACCTGCCCTTCTGCTGACCCCATTCCAGCTTCAGAGTGCCGAGCTCACTAAGACCCTGGTATTTAATCATGTAACCTGCAAGTTTTATGAAGCCCCTTCTATACACAAGCACGCCACTCAGTGTTGGGGAATTTTCAGGAGGCCAGGATCCTGGCCTCCTGTGGGTGCCATAAGATTGATAAAGTTGCAATTGGAGGATCAAAAAGGAAAATTAGAGGCCCACGCCCACCCCAGGCGCTGCAGCTGGGGACAGCTTCCTGAAGACCTGGTAGGTTAATGGAGGCATCCTAACTCATGGGGAAAGTAAACAGCTTGTAGAAGACATGTATGGGTCCAGAAGGTCGGTTTATATGAGGGACAGTAGGAGCCTGGAAAACAAGGCCACAGGACTCAACCAGGAACCACCATAATCCTGCCTGTCCATGCTGGTACAAGGGCAAAATATATGCAATAAATCACTCAACAAACATTTGTTGAGCAACTACTATGTCCCTGCCCTCAGAGAGCTGACAGTCTGGTTGGAGAGACAGATACAGAGAGGACAGGGAGTGCCAGGGGCACTTTGCAGGCAGTAACTGAGGGTGGCAGGCATGGAGGAGCTCAGGACGCGCCTTAGGTTGTGTGGAGGGGTACAGCACGTTTGGGCTCAGCACCCAGAGCCTGATAGTGGCTGACTGATAAGAGACAGAAGTGCCTGCTATTGCAGTCCAAGGGTCTGCTCAAGGCAGAGCCAGTGCAAAGGCTGTGGTTAGAGTGAGCTTGGTGTACTGAAGGGGCAGGGGCTGGAGCTTGGGTAGAAAAGGGTCTCAGAAGTGGTTTGAGTGGTAGGGCAGGCAGTGGAGGGCATGCAGGGAAGGGAGCCTTCGGGACACAGCTTTGGCCAGGAAGTGATGGGCATGTTACTGGGACTCTATTGTTGTAGAATATTACTTTAAGGTCTGTTACTTTTGTTTATGTTGCAGTTGTTTAACTCTGTGAAGCTGGGTTACCTTGCCTGTCTAAAACACATGATGGTCTAAAAGAGTTGAACGGCCAATAGCAAGGCAGGGGAAAGGATAGGCGGGTCTGGCAGGTAGAAAGAATAAATAGAGGGAGAACTCAGGGAGGAAAAGAAGAAAGAGCAAGAGAACAAGGAGAGGAGGACACCAGGGGCCAGCCACCCAGCCACCCAGCCACCCAGCCACCCAGTCACCCAGCCACCCAGCCACCCATCCAGCCACGGAGTAAGAGTGAAAGTAAGATTTACAGAAGTAAGAGAAAGGTAAAAGGGTGGATGAGATAATTCAAGAAAAGCTGGCTAGCAACAAGCCAAGCTAAGGCCGGGCATTCATAAGTAAGAATAAGCCTCAGTGTGTGATTTATTTTGGGAGCTGGGTGGCGGGCCCCCAAAAGAGAGTCAAAGAGCAAAGAGTAAAGAAACAACCAACAACACTCTGTATTTCTTCTGACTTACCTCAACTGGGAGGACAGTGACCCTGCTCAGGGAGGGATCTGTGGCACCTAGACAAGGTGGAAGGGCCAGCAGAGAACTTCTGAGAAGAAACCCTGAGGCTGTGAAGAGATGGGAAGGGCACGAGATTCAGAACCTCAGGCCCACCAGGACGCAGCCCCGAGTCCACAGCTGATGGGTGACCTTGCTTGTCTCAGTCCACAGCGCAGGGGTGACCCTTGCTTATCACTCTTGGGTGAGGGAAATGACCTAAAGCCCTTTTAACATGCTAGGGGGTATGGATGCCCCGTGTCACCATGAACAGAGGGACCAGGCCACGCAGCCAGGGCTAGCCTTTCGACTCCCCACCCAGCTGGATTTTCCATGGGTCCCTCCCCAGCAGATTAGGCCTGAGGCGTGCAAGACTACATGCGGTGGGCCCCGCCTCCTTGCCTCTTCCAGCAGTGCGCTCCGTGCTATCTCCAGTCCCGGGACAGAGGCTCGCTGAGGTCCCATCGTGCGGTCTGGTCTGCCTGACTCTGGACAGTGGGTGACCAGCTGAGCTCTGGAGACGCTGGGCATGGAACCCAAGCCTGAATTGGGGGTGGGGAGTTCTCCAACCCAGCTAGGGTACTCAACCCTTTGAGGATGAGCCCGTGGCTGCACGGTGCTTTGTAGGCGTTGGCGGCCCATTTTGCAGAAGGGAAAGCTGGGGCCCTTTGGGTAGCGGGGCACCTGCGAAAGGACCGCCTGTGGGTGTTCGCTAGTCCCTTTCCCAAAGCCCTCTCCCCATTCTTGGGACTGGGGAAGGATCCTCTGATTGGTCATATCTGGAGGCCTGGCCTGAGGGCGTCCTGTGATTGGAGAGGTCCGGGCTGGGCGGGTCCCCGGTGTCTGCCCCTCCTCTGTGAGTGGAGGAGGCGCCCTGACCCCAACCCGCTCCACGGTAGACCGGAGCTTGAGCACGGGTCTGGGAGCTCGCTGCCCCGTGCCGACCCTCGCAGCTAGCAGGTACTGCTGGGTTCCAAGCCCAGGGCTCTGGGCCGGTGACCCTGTTCTCTCTACTCCCCCTCTTTGACCTTGGGTAAGTTTCTTTTTGCTTTTGTTGTTTTGAACACTGCACCCAGAGCCTCTCCGCTGCAGGCAGGCGCTGAACCCCGGAACCATAGCTCCTGCCCTGGGAAGTTTCTTTTTCTTTCCTTTTCTTTTGGAGGGAGGGTTTTCCTGAGTAGCCCTGGCTACTAGCACTCTAGACCAGGCTGGCCTCGAACTCAGAGATATGTCTGCTTCTGCCTCCGGAGAGCTAGAATTAAAGGAGTGCATTACCAAGCCCTGCTCATGCCCTGGGAAGTTTCTGGAGCGCTGCTAAATCTTGGCTTCTAGTCTGTAAAACGGGGGAGGAAGAGACAGGACTGGATTAGACGGGACACAGCAGTGTACATCTCCTGAGGTTGCTGGAGAATTCTGGTCCTAGGCAGCTGGTGGTGAGTGTTGGGACTGTCTTCTGTCTAGATAAGTTCTCCATGCCCAGGAGACATCACAGTCATACTTTCCCTGGGCCCTTGAGACCCAGGGAAGGTGACAGTTCACCCAGGCTTAAGCTGAAGTCTGCAGGCTTGAGAGCCAGGTTGCTCTACCTTTACCCTGTAGCCACACCCAGGATCACGGAAGTGTCTGATTGATCTTGGCCCATCCCCTGCTGGGAGCCTCGGCAAAGACGCTGTCATATGAGAGGGTAGGGTCGGCCTTGGGCAGATGTGGGTGAACCATGACCACTACCGGTCTGCTCCCAGGCTGGATTGCAGTAAGCTATAGAACGAAGGGCCCCTGCTGCTGTCCTGACCCAGGGGCTGGAAGTGGGGACCTGCAGAGCAGGAGCCCTCTGAGTCCCTGAAGGTCTGAGGCCACAGCAGCCCCTGTGCCCCAACACAAGACAGGGCTGAGAGACGGCAGTCCATATCCTTGGGGCTCGGTAGGACCTCCAGCCCCTCCCATGTTGTCTCTGTGGCCAAAGGCAAACTTTAAGTGAGGGTCCTCACTTCGCGTTCCTCCGTCTACCTCCTTGTCCCTGAACTGTGATGATGGCCAATCTGCAGTGATCCCGACTGCCCCTCTGCAGCCTAAAGTGGGGTTTGGTTTTGGTGACTTGTATTTCACTCCTTTAATATTTCTGTAAATAATTGCTGTTCAGCAGGGGTGGAGGAGGCAGGTGTGGTAGCACAGATCTGAAATCTCCGTGCTCAAGAGGCTGAGGTGGGAGGAGAGATTCCAGGGCAGCCTGTGCTATGTACTGAAACTCCCTTGAAAGAAGACAACAAATACACAGAGGCAAGCACACACACACACACACACACACACACACACACACATACACACACACACACACACACACACCACATCATACCACAGACACACCACAGCACACACATGTGCACACACACACACCACATCATACCACAGACACTGCTTTGGGAAACTGCAGTGGGCTGTTATCTGCTGGAGCATCTTGGCTTACATATTCCCAGCTAGCAACAGTTTGCCAATGGCAGTTTCCTAATGGCATGGCCTACGCATTCCAACACGCTGCAATGTAAAACCCACCCGCTGTCCTCTGGTCCTCCCATGGTTTATAAGAGAGACACCGAGTCAGGGCCGAGCCATCTTTCATGTTCCCGGCAGAGAAGTTTCGCTTGCTGCTGTTTTCCCAGAACCTTACCAGTGCTGGATATCCATATTATCTTCAGTACCTGTCAGTTTTACAGGAGGAATGTGGACTGTGTTTGTGGACTGTGTTTGCCTCTGCCTTTAGAGAAATGTTCCAATTTCATTAGCTGTGACTGCAGCATGTTTTTGTCTGTTGGCTGTAAGTTTTTCCTTTTAGTAAAGTGTGCTTTATATGTGAAAAGTTAGCATGTTTAATTTGCGTTCCACTGTTGGAGCCAGGCCTGTAAAGCCCACTGTTCACCAGTATTTTCTAACATAGTCCCCCTTCTCTCCCCCTCTTCTCCCCCGTGTCCTCCTCCTTCCCTTCCTCTTCTTTCTTCTCCATTTTTGAGGCAGGCTCTCATGTAGCCCAGGCTGGCCTCAAACCCTCTATGTAGCCGAGGATGGCCTTGAACTCCCATCTTCCTGCTTCCAGCCTCCGAGAGCTGTGCTTACCGCCTGCACCAGCACACTTGGACTCTGTGGAGCAGGTGATGGAAACCGGTGCTTCAAGCGTGCTAGACAGGCGTTGGATCAACTGAGCTACCTCCTTACCCTTATTATGTTTTCTTCCTGTACCTGGTGTAAAAATGTTTATTTTGAACCCAGTTGGACTTTTTGGAGCAAAATGTAGGCTGGAGAGCTATATTTGTTTCTTTCAATTAATAATCAACTTTCAGAGTTTGTTTTGGGTTTGTGGAAAAACTGAGGGCAGAGCCAGGTTCCCATATGTTCATTCTGCCCGTGCTTCCTTTGTTAAACATTTACCACACTGTGTGAGCTGATGCCAGTGCGGTGTGATGGCCTCAGATCCATGTTCTGTGTGTGGGCTCTCTCACTGTGTGTGTGTGAGCTTCATGTGTGCGCAGTCTGTAAGACATGTCTCCACTCTTGTAGTCTTAGATGCCATGGTGGGGGGGTCTCCCCTCAGCCCTGGCAACTACTCATCCTTGACTGTATCTGATGCTCTGGGTTGACTTTTCCCAGTGCTGAGCACTTGTGATCATAGTGGATGGCAGCTTTGCAGAGTCTTTCACTCAGAGGTTTGCCTTTAAGTTTCCTGAGTATCTTTTCACAGCTTCCTAGCACATGTCCTCTCAATTCTGGCTTATGTTCCATTATCTGAACCCCATTACCACAGGGTTTTTTTTTTTTTTCCATTCACTCACTAATGGGTGTCATGGTTGCTTCCAGGTTTGAACAATTCTAAGTAATACTGCTATCAACATTTGTATGTGGGCATTAGTTTTCTGTCCACTTGAAGAAATACCTATGAGAGTGTGTCCTAGTGAGGGTTACTGTTGCTGGGATGAAACGCCATCATCAATAGCAACTTGGGGAAGAACGGGTTTATTTGACTTAGGCTTCTTCGTCACTGTTCATCATTGAAGGAAGTCAGGAACTCAGATAGAACTTTGGAGGCAAGAACTGATGCAGAGGCCATGGAGGGGTGCTGCTTACTGACTTGCTCCTCATTGCTTGCTCAACCTGCCTTCTTATAGAACCCAGGACCACCTGCCCAGGGGTGACCCCACCCACAATGGGCTGGGCCCTCTCCCATCAATAACTAATTGAGAAAATGCCCCATAGTCTTGCCAAAGCCTGATAGTATGGAGGCATTTTCTCAAATGAGGCTCCCTCTTCCTTAATATTCTAACTTGTGTCAAGTTGACATAAAACTAGCCAGCATAGAGTGGTTTCTGGAACTGGTGGTTAAAATGAACTTTGCATTAGAACAAGAATGCTGGAGACTGGAAAGGTGGCTCCTGGTCAGGAGCACTTGCTGCTTTTGCAGAGAACCTGAGTTCTGTTTCTAGCACCCAAGCCGGGCAGCTCACAACCTCTTGCAGCTATAGCCTCAGGGGGATCTGATGCCACCTTCTGGCCTCCATGGGCACTGCAGTTTGATGATTGAAATCTTTAACTCACATTTCATTTTTTTATTAAGAAATTTTTTTTTCATTTCACATACCAACCACAGATCCCCCTCTCTTCCCTCTTTCCACTCACCAGCTTCCCTTGCCCCAACCCATCCCCCATTCCCTCCTCTGACAAGGTAAGGCCTCCCATGGGGAGTCAGCAGAGCCTGGTACATTCAGTAGAGGCAGGTCCAAGTGCCCCCCACCCCCATTGCATCAAGGCTGTGCAAGGTGTCCCACCATAGGTAGTGGGCTCAAAAAGCCAGCTCATGATCCAGGGATGGATCCTGATCTTACTGCCAGGAGGCCCCTTAAGCAGATCAAGCTACACAACTGTCTCACTTATGCAGAGGACCTAGTCCAGTCCCATGGAGGCTCCACAGCTGTTGGTCTAAAGTTCATGAGTTCCCACTGGCTTGGTTTGGTTGTCTCCGTAGGTTTCCCCATCATGATCTTGATGCCCCTTGCTCATAGAATCCTTCTTCTCTCCGACTGGACTCCT